TGGAGTACGATGGTTGGCACCTTGACGGGTCTGGCGGTGGCAAACACGTGCGTGGCTGCAGTTTCGATATGCAGGTCCGAGACTGCGGCCGTGGCTTCGTACGTTCGTTCCAAAAGGGCAAGCGGCGCGCTCATGTTGCGGCGACAAAGCAAATGGAATCGTGCCCGGCGGCATACCAAGACCAACATTCGGAGCCAACATTCACGACGGTACACAGAGTGTTGGAACGGATAGGGAATGCATGCGATTTCGTTCCAAATAGCTATGAAGCGAATACACCTGTAACGTGTCCATCTTGCTTTTGAGCACCATGCACAGATTTCAGGAGGTGATCCAAGCGTATACGCAAGCAAGTAACTAGGACATCAAACCTGTTGCTTGTGCCATGCGCAGGACGCCCGTTGGGCTGCTTTGTTGTGTTCGCACGTGAAAACATTGAACGAAATCCATTTGGTGTGATGTTGTTGTCCTTGATGGGGTGAGAAATTGGTCGATGTTGAAGTTCATACACTTGTGGTCTTTACGCGTCACACTTCGTTCTTGCGATCTGGTGAACTCGACAACAGCAAAGGGCGACGAGTTGGCCATCACCCATTGCCGTGAATGCCCATGCCCCCCTCTCAACTGCTCCGTGGCATTGGGGACTCACTTCCCCCTTCGATCCCCCCTGGAGCTGTCGTTGAGTACACTTGCAATGATGCAACTGAGGCAGTCGCAAGCGCCAAACAGGCAAACAAGAGATGTGGCATTATGTTAACCAAAGATGGCTTTCTTGAGCCAATTTCGAGCCGATTCGGGCATGGCCGTAGGGGTTGGCGCTGGCATGGCGACGACCTCGTATGGTGGCCGCAAGCGGACGAGTGTAAGCTGTTGTACCCTCCCAGACCCGATCACTTTCGCAGCCACCTGATTCAAATCGCTAAAGTTTGCGTATCCGCTGCCCATGATCTTGACGTCGCAGGCACTCGCACACATTGTCGAGTTCACCGTGCCCGAACCCGTGATGCTCACGTCGTGGCGCTCAGTGGATCCTTGGCCCACAACTTGGATGTGCCCGGACCCAGTGACTTGGGACTCGATCGTGGCGGCACCAAACCTGCTGTGCGTGTGGATTTCAACGGAACCGGAGCCCGTGACCTGGCTGTGTAGTCTGCTGGCGCTAAACGAGTCCGAAACGACGTTCACCCCACCCGACGCAGTCACCTCGACCTTGGCATCCCCCGTGATGTTGACCGTCGAGTTGACGGCGATCAACGTGGCGCCTGACCCGCAGCCTTTCAACTTCATGCAATTCGCCGCAACCCTGTCGGCAACAAGAGCAACTTGCCCAGACCCCGTGACTTCGGTCATAATCACGCCAGATACAATAACAGCCGCCGCTTGAATTTGAATTGTG